TTCAAAATTTCTTGAAATTTCAAAGTTAGAAATTTGTAAATTTGAAATTTCTAAATTACTTAAATTACCTATAATTTTGCAATTTCTAAATTACTTAAATTACTTAAAATATTAAAGTTTGAAATTTCTAAATTACTTACACTCCTTAAAATTTGCAAGTTTGGAAAATTACTTAAAATTTACACTCTTGAAGCATTACACTTCGACTTCCAACGTTTCTTTTCTACAGTAAATCTACGCATTGGAAGGTATTCCGAGCAGTAAAATAAAAATTGAAAACATTTCACTTCCGACACTTGTCTCATAGAGGGTGCGAAATATTCGATACCTAAGGAGACCAGAGTTGCCAGGACACCCTGTATAACCAAACTAAATATTTAGCAGCACACTCGATAAACCGTGTTTCCCTCACTTCAAACCGCTATTTACTTACCGCAGATAAAACCTGTTTATAAACTATCCCCAAAGTATCCTAAACTATCCCCATAGAGGCAGCGGTGTATTTTAATATCGCGGTATCGTATCGAATCGACATGCTCGTCACGTTCGGAACATTATGGAATCTCGTGTGATTCGAGGATTTACTATATCGCGAACACAGAACGATTTATAGGGGAGCGGGAATAATGTGCGAATTAGGGCAGGGTTAAATTTAGGCTAGGTCTAGGTTAAATCTTGGGGTAGATCCAAATTTGCACGCGCGTTACCTCCACGTTCCATTTCGTACGCTGTTAGCAACCGGATCACTTTGTATGCAAACGATCGCAGCTCAAGTAATTGATTTAGATGCGCAAAGGAGATTCGAAACGTTGTTGACCTACCTGTTCATGACAGTCAAATTTCTTCCTAGATCATTCCTTATCGACCGAAGTCTGTTCAGAAAGCTACTTTTTCCTGCAGAGTGTTCAAGTCCAATTTCTTCAGCACCTTTCTTCTTCGTTCAATACGACACACTTCTGTATTCTTGCTCGATGGAACGAACAGTTTTATACAGCGAACAGTGTTTTCCTAGTTAATGGTAAATACGTGAGAAGAAATGAAAGATTTATGTAGTTGTTCGAAACGAAATTGTAGTTCTAATTATTTCTTTCTTGCATGATTTCGTAGATCATTGTGTCGCACATGGTTGAATTCTTTTTGACAATCGCTTTTATATCGTATAAATAATTAAAGGCTATCTTTGAAAAATATTGCAAATATGAAACATTTACATATGCTATTATGTTAAGTATAAAAGACAGTAAAACCTTTTCCTCTTTAGTTTTCTCCATATACGTTTTGACAATCGCTTTTATATCGTATAAATAATTAAAGGCTATCTTTGAAAAATATTGCAAATACTGTAAATATTGCAAATATTGCAAATATTGCACATATGCTATTATGTTAAGTATAAAAGACAGTAAAACCTTTTCCTCTTTAGTTTTTTCCATATACGAGGTGCTTGCAATTTTTACGGTGTAATCTGTGATCATTTGTGTACCGACGTACGAAGTTTCGTGGCTCTCTTTTACAGCTGGTGAAGTAGGGGTGTTTACAGCGACGGAGAAGTGAGGAATGATCCAGTACCTGGTGACAAAGGACATCACCGCAAGGACCTTGAATGATTTTCGCAAGAATTTCGAATAATTTTTGCAAGGTCCTTGAATGATCTTTGATGTGAGGTCTTTTATCTTCTTATTTTGTCCATCTCTACTCCGTCTACTGCAAACACCTCTACTTCGCTAGCTCTAAAAGGGAGAAAAATGAGGACGGAGACACGAAACTGTACACATTAGTGCACAATTAATTACATGTTATTCGGTAAAAATTACAAGCACTTAGCTGCAATCCTTCATACTTAGGCCGTGAACTTTTCAATCCACCCTAGTACTTACCATTTACGAGAAAATCGCTGGCTAGTAATGGCACTGCTCCTTCGAATTGTGTTTTATTATTCACAATTATTGATTTGATTGATTATTGCAATTACATATTCAGCCATTTATACTTCTTTCAGTTAGCCTTATATTATTCTACTGTTGACAATCGTATACCTAATTTAATACTTTAGGATCTCATATAATGTTAACAGGTATTGTAACAAATTAGTTGCTTTCCTTCTATTTTTCAACGTGAAAATGAACAATTCTTTAATCGATTAATTTTGCAATACCTGTAGAGAGTGGACCACATAAAGTGTTAAAGGTTTTAAGGATGTAATATTTTATATGATGTAGGAGATACCGTTGTCGTGTCCTTTTGGGGATGGCAAGACCCTGCCCCCTATTCTTTTAAGGAGTAGTATATAGACTTTTGGGAAAGAAAACCGTTTTGGAAATAAATAACGTTTATTTTGTCGTCGTATTTTGTGCAGCACTGCAACCGTTACTGCTGAAGGGGACGCAAAAGGGTGAAACGAATAGCATTTATTTATCTTAATAAATTCCACCATATCACTAAATAACAATTCACCAAGGAAAAATAATTTGCAATACCTTATAAAACATACTGGAATTTGCAGCACTTTTATATTTAAAAATTGTATTATTCAGCTGTAAAATGAACTTCCAAAAATTGCCCAATAAAAAATATGAAAGATGTTCTAAACGAAATTGCAAAGTATCAAACACCTCTCAAGTATTTCGAGTCAATATCATCGCTAACACAAATAATATACATTTCTTTCAGCGCACATTTTCCCTTTCGAAAGTAACTCTCGATCGATTGTTGGATAAATTGGGACACTACTCGTTGTAGAACCTAACGTGTACTTCGATTGCAGAATCATGAGAGAATGTGAAAGAGAAGGTGGAGATAAGTTTGATACGCGGAAGTTGATTGGTATGAAAATCACCAGGTCACCCAAATGTGCGGTTATTTATCACACACGGTGGATTGCTGGGGACCCAAGAGGCGGTTTATTGCGGGGTACCGATTCTCGGCATACCCCTGTTTGGGGATCAGCACTTGAACATGGCCTACTTCGTGAAAAAGGGGCTAGCTCGCCAGCTGAATTACCAGCAACTTTCGTACGAGCCACTATCAAACGCTTTGAACGAACTGCTCACGAACAAGAGGTAATTAGAATCTCCGTTTTTCGTGCAAATGGAAATCTCCTGGTTCAAATAGCAATAGAAAAGAAAATGAAACGTTGAGAGAGAATGGGGGAGAGAGAGAGCATTTCTGGATTGGCTAGTTAGCATTGTATTTGCTGAGTGCCGGAATCCATCCGATGTCTAGATTAGATTTTAACCCTCAACTATAGACACTGTTCTTCAACGCTGCAAGGACCGATCGGGTTAAAACGACCTATTAGAAACCTTCCAAAAGTGAATTTTTGAGTAATTAAAGTGCGATTGAGAAATTTTAGATTCCCGAAATCACTTTATTTCTGTGTGATTTTGTAATCTTTTTGATACGTATCTGTCGACATGTGTTACGTTGAGAACGTTGTATTTTTGTCGAATAGTGCTTTGCTAAATTTTCAAATATATCGAAGGTGGATTTAAACTATCGACTTTGATTAATCGTCATAGAGGAAAAATTAAATATCGTACTGCTGTGAAATACGTACGGAGTTAGTAAGTAGAATTTGCGTGTGCACACTGTAAACCAGATGAAAGAATTTATGGAGGAAATCTGCATCTCGTAGCTAAACATGAGACTCTATGTGTAGTTGCAGAATAAAACGAGAGAACCTATGTCAGCAACTGAGGGAAAAAATTTCTACCCTGTAAACGATACTGTGCGACGTTTTAAAAATCAGACGAGAATTTCAAATAATTCGAAACACAAGAAATTCGGTAAATTCTTTGCACGCCAATTATCGAGCAATTACAAAGACAGATGTACTTGAAATATTTCACGTTCACTTTATATTGGAAGCGGAATGCTTAAACAATGTTTATAGGAAATATGAATTTAAATTGCTATTTAAAATTTAACAAAGCAGTGGAAAATAAATCACAAGTTACTTAATTGTGGTAACTTATTATGAAATATAAAACTTTTCTATGAACAGTTCTCTCTTTTTGTATGATTTGATATTAAGATTGATACTTCTGTTCTAGTATTTGGAAGCTTTTCTATTTTACAAATTTTACATATTCTGCGTAATATTGAGAAAGGAGTATAATAAATAACTAGGTGCATACATCGTATGATCCACAGCTACACGGATACGGCACGAAAAGCTTCTTTGCAGTTCAGGGATAGGCCAATACCACCTCTGGACGAAGGGGTTTACTGGGTAGAATATTTAATTCGTCACGGACCAGGTTCCTTGAAGATAGCAGCTGCAGATTTGACGTGGTATCAGTATCTATTGTTAGATGTTATACTTGTAACGATAGTGTCAATCCTATTGGCAACTTGGAGCGTTTATAAACTATGTAAATTAGTATTTCGTCGAAAGAATGTAGCGTCCGTAAGCAGTAACAAGAAACGGATGTAAAGAGCATTGTTTTTGTACGAAATTTTCATGAATATTTTAATTTTCAACGAAGAATGATTCGAGTTATCGAGAAAAATTATTTTTACTATTATTTGTATATTATTTACCAAAAGGCCGTTATTTTCCCAATTGTTAATATTTTTATTTTACATGAGAAATAAAATTTTTTTTTTTTAAATGTGTCTGTAAAACTTACGAAATTATGTCATTGTAATTTAACACGTCAAGCGCCGTGTCAGTCACCGGTGACTGACACTATACTTTCCGTTCAAACCGCGTCAGTCACCGGCGATTGACAGTATACTTTTCGTTAGTCGTCTTCTGTTTATAGTTCGCATGGCCGACTTGACGGCCGAGTGTGGCATGAACGGAACGGCAAGCAATACAGGCTGGGCGTTTAACCTGTTAATTAAACTTAAAAAAGTTAATGTAATTTAATTTAAGTCTTTAATTAAACGCAACATTTTTCATGCAGAAATTTTTGCAAAAATGAACTTTACGTGTAAATTTTCAACCAGTGCAATCAAATTTCACGATCAATTTGTTCGTCTACCATTTGTCGAAAATCAATTCTAATGGCATCGTTATACGATTGATACGTAAGAGACTTCATTTGAAATAATATTAAGTAGGGCTCTTTGCACATTGAAATATAATTATGCAGCGTAAGATCGATGAAATTCGTCAAGAAGCTTTAGCATTGAATAAAGTGAAAAGGCGTCTTCGAAAAGTAATCTTATTTTTAATTAAACTTTTCAAGGAATAAATTCGTTAATAACGAAAGGAATTTCGTATCGGTGAATATTCCGCATTAATTTCAAACAGTATTTCCGAGAGAAATATCTCGAAAAAGTACGGTAACTGGAGGAATAATGAATGATGGAGCACGTGGAGTGTGTGTCGCGCAACATACAGATGCTAGCATGCATTTGGGTCAACGTTGTATGACATGCTGTATCCTGGTAACAAACGAAAAACGTCACTAAGAAGTTATCATCGGAAAAAGATCTTCATCGTCGACTAATGGCGGTCGTTGGTTTTAATATAAAAGGTAAAATAACTATGATACCCTCTCGAGGAGTATTCTTTTCCTCGTCCCCTGTAAAAGAAGAAGAAGACTGTGAAAACGTTTCGAAAATGCTTCCAGAACTTTTAAAACTCACGTTTTCTTACAAAATATTTGGTAAAGTGCTTTATAAAACTGTCTTACTAAAGTAACAAGTTATGGAAGTCTGTTTAAGGGAGACATTCCCTCTAACATAAAAGTGTTGTCGTAAAACAATGAAATTTCCTGTGTAATTTCGATACACTTGTATTAAAGTTTCACGAACTTTCGAACAAATTGTTTATGTACAACATTGTCTTCCCTCTAGACGTCAAAATTTTGAATAACCTGCTTGTATTCGTACATCGTGAAATATTAGTGTGTGCTTACTCATCGGATGGAAATACGTATATACCGTCTCTTCGTATATACTCAAAGGATTAAAGATTAAGTTATAAAAATTTAATACCCCGTATAAAAAAAAGATTTGAGAGATGGGTAGTAAAAAAAATACTATTTCAGGTAAGCCCGTAGAACTCAAGTGCAAAAGTTTCAAAGAACTAGAAATGTAGCAAAAAAAAAAGAAGGGCGAAAATATGAATATCCTTGATACCAGTAGCAACATATACAGGGTGTCCAAATTGTTTTCTGACCAAACTTTGTCAGTGTGTTCTATAGCCATATGTAAGAGAAAAATGTTATACAAACACAGGTCGTTGGAAGCTTTATTAAAAAGTTAGAGCAATAATCGTATCTCGTACTTCGTATTTTTCCTATAATTCTTTAACGAAGCTTCAAACGACCTACGTTTATATGACATTTTCCTCTTACTTATACTCATAGAACACACCGACGAAGTTTGATCAGAAAAAAATTCGGACACCCGGTATATATTATATGTACGCAATCAAAATATTTGAAGCGTGTTTCCTGTTAACTTCTAAACACGCAGTGCTGCATCAGAATATTTCAATTGGAAATTTATACGTTTGAAATGTTTAAAACATTTAACACGTTTCTGTTCTTTTAGATTTGTCGAATTTCATTCCATTTGATACATTCACCCGGCAAATGAATCTCACTTGCACAGCGAGAAACACGTTAAATACAACCGAAACTGTGCTTTCGAAAATTTCGGATTCTTTTAAGAAAGAAAGGGGGGGCGTTGTTATATTAGTTATAAGAGACATCTTACGCGGCGAAAAGAAGCTTTTGCATATTCCAGTGTTATATCACTCGCGCTTTATTATGAATGCACGGACGTGGAATAGCATAACAGGAAGCCGGAAAAGTCAGACGCGCATTTCTCGTTGAGAGAATAAAAGCACAGTTATAAATTGGAGGGAAACCATGCCTCTTTTGCGACACCAAGTGCAATCCAATAAAGTGTTTAGTCTTTTCCGTTGTGGAGTAAATCCCGAGGCAACCAGGAATACGAAATAAATGCGCGAAGCAATTAATTTAACGAAATTTATAACGTGACGCGACTTCTCATTTCCCGTAAACGTTCCCTTATTAACAAATTTCTCCGTTTCAATTTTATTAGAGCCGGGGGATGACTTGGAGAACGCGAAATTCAAGTGCACACCTTGTTTATTTCTTTCACAGTTCTTAATTAACTTGCGAAGGCTAAATGGTACGCTTGCGAGATTCTTTACCTGTGCCATTCACTTTTAAACTGTTCAAATTACTCGGGTCTACTCGTTAAGCCTGTGTGTCGCGATATAAGGAAATTCTTTTTACAAGTATAAACGTTTTCATATTTCAGAGGACACTTTTGTACGTTTCTTAATACCGAGTAAGCATTTCAATCCTTCGAACGTCCTTTTTAATACAATTTAAGGTCGCACTAACATCTTGGTTATTAGCGAGCATCGTTATTCTACGGATAAGTTCGACTGTTTTCTTGAGCTTTTCTTCTGTTTCGAATATTTTCTTAATAAATATGTAGAAGCCATCGTCAAGATCGCATATTTTAGAGAGTACATCTTTTTTCCCTTTTCAAGCAAAGATTTTAATCTCTTCTAGAGCTGGTTCGTCACGTTCACAACAGTTCACAAAATGCCAACAAAGACATACGTTAACATATTAATACTCTGTGTGTCATATTTTTGATATCTTCCTCTTGGTTACACAAAAACTCCAATATTGCAGTCGTAAGTGAGACTAATTGTATTCTTTAGGCGAGCAAAACAAATGCAGACAATAAACACTTTTTCATTCTTTCTTCCATTTTTATTTGATCCAATTATTCAAGAAGTCAAAAAGTCACGGTTCTTCAGTTAGGATTGTTTCAATGTGTTGTAATAGTAGTTGTTTTATTTAACCAATATCCATATAACTGACACCGATATTCCTTTGTTTATTAGGTCGTTGTGTAACTCTCGTATGTTCATTATTCCATTACTTGTTGGTATATTTTCTGTATCTTTTACTGCATTCAGCGAGTCACTTTCTATACTGTACTAGATCATCCCATAACTTCATGTCGAATCAAATAATTTAGACCAATATTTCCAAGAAACCATTAAATTTGCTAAAAAAAAATAAGCGCCTTTTCAATTCATAAATTTTTCCTATATATTTTTGGTAAGGCCATTACGTCGTGGCTTTAAAATTTCCTCCGATTTTCCCTAAAATATTTTTCTCTATCTGCGCGAACTTACGGGAAGACCTGATATTTCTCTAAAATATGTTGCAAGGCTCCCGAGATTTCATAGTCTGGAGTTACTGGTTTCAATAATCACAGATGGTGTCTCTATTGCTACACGAACGAAATATTCGATTTTTGCTATAATGTTGTAATAATTTCTGTCACACACCTAACACAGACTAATGCTGAATATAGGGCAATTAGGTTACGAAACATGATTAACTTAAACGAGGAGAGCAAGGCTCTCCTTCTAGAGTTGATACCAACCATGCACACGTTGTTACGTTAAAGTATTCATTTGTTCTCTTCTCCACGAGGATTATATTAAAAAGGAACACTGTAAGTTTTTTGAAACATTACTTCTGCAACGAACTGAAGTTTCGTTTGAAATATCTCTATTTTCTTACCGGGTAAAAGTCAAAACCAGAAAGTTTTAAGTTCCAACATTTTTATTCAAGTTTGCCCTGTTCGTTCTTCTGCATCGCTTCGAAAATCATATATGCATTTGAAACGTGTTAATAATAGTAATTCTGCATTAATTTTTAATACCTCGACTATTGAACACAGATACTATAAAAATTCTAAAAATCATATTTATTTCTATGTAAAATTCGAAGTTTGCACTTAATTATTTTTTTTCTGTACACATTACAAAATATTAAATGTAAATTATTTTAGGTACCTTTATTAGTTTTTCTAGTTGTATTTTCCTTGTAATTGTTAATTCTTTGTATCCTTACATTTGAAGCACCTGCTGCATCATTTTGTTACATATTTCTTTCAATAATAATATAATAATATTAGTAATAACGTTCTGACGAGTGCTAAAAAATCTAGACAAAGTCTGTATATTATCAAAAATCCAAGATTCAAACACACTGCAATAATAATTACAGCAGAAAAATATCATGCACTGTGAGGTTCCTTCGACTTCGACAGATGTCGATTGTAAAATATCAAAATCTTCGAACAGCCAAACTGAAGTCACAGAAAGGAAGTCAGAGAGCTGAAGCGACTTCGTGTTAAAATAATTTATCGCGGCAAGAAAGTACTTCGGAATGTACTTTGAAAGGTTGCAGCAAAGCGAAGCGACAAAAGGACGATCGCGGCATAGTTGTGTAAGTGCAACTTTTTCCAGGATGTGTCGGTCGACCTAATTTCTGATTTCCAGGTATAGAAAGATACGAAAAACTCGGCAGAATTTGTATAAATTTTAATTATACAATTGCAATTTTCAAGCGCGGCAATCAAATTTATTTGCGTACGAACGCACAGCTAACGCATTCAATACTTTTAATTAAATTTCCCTCTTTCGGCGACTTTCTAATTTTCATTTTACGCGTGCAAGCGTCACAGTAATTTCATAGGCGTTCGTCAATTTCTTTGTCAACAAGTATTGTACAAAAGCAGTCTTTGAGCAGTCTGATAGGTATAAATATCGAAATTTTACGTTGTTTCGCGTATAATAAAACCAATTTTTATTTCTGTACTCGTATGTTGAATACAATGAATGAAAAGCTGGTAGCAAATTTAATTTTATCGTCTCATTCTTTCCAATAATCGTGGAAATTGAACGCTGCTTTAATTTCGATGAAAAATGGGGGATTAATTTGCAAATTGCACGCACCAAAGTATCAATGAATAAAATAAGAACTTTTTCGCTCGATCTCTTCACTCGCATTGAATTGCTAAGATGTTTATTAAATACAGGATACTATAAACTTAAAGATGACCAGCAATGAAGAACGTTCAAAATGAGGCATTCATCAAGTCTTTAATGCTGATTTCTGAAAAGTTGTTCTCATTCTTAAACGAGTATTTTTCAGTTACTAGGTTCCCATTCTAACTCCAACGGAATCTTAATTAGCAATGGAATTTTAATTGGGGAATAATTCGCGAAGCGTTGTTCTCGTCGTGGTGGCCACGTTACGAAAACTGGACGAGTTCGTTTTCTCCTGGCTTCATTAACCGTGCCACGGTGTCCCTTTTTTCATCGTACCGTGACAACAAGAAACAATAGGAAAAGGGTTGAACAGCTACTGTTTAATGAGCCTCTCAGGCCCATTCAACCATCGCGGATGAGCGTTTTTGTTCAGTTTCGCTTGAACGTACAAGTTGTATACAGGAATAATCCCGTGAGTCGGAAGAATAAACTTCGCGTTGCATTTTTAAATCGAGGATATACGTATGTATACGTGTATTATAGTTCTATGTTTTGATTACCTCGTTTCTTAAAAATATATCATAATTAGTTCATTTTGCGTGAAATTTCATTTTTTCTACAGAAAACATTGCTACATTATTTATTCAAAGTTACCAAAATTAAAATTTCCTCACTGATCATTAATAAAGATTAATTTTCATTGAACAATTGAAGCTTGAATCGATTTGAACTGATATCATTATCGTTCGAATTCTGTCAGCAAATATTTTCATTGATCGAAATAGGTTACAAACAACGTTAACATAAAATCAAGTGTAAAACCTTCATGAGTTCAGAATGGTCAAACTTTTTTTTAAGACATGGAGCTTTACCAATACGAGAGGTATATTAATTTTCTGTTACGTTTAATTTCCTCAGCAGTGTCGCTTGAAAAATTCCCCGTGTTACATTCAGACGATATCTTCCAATTTTTGAATATGTACACTTTAAGTTACTGGTAATTAAATCTCAACGATTCTGTATTACGTACAAAATGGAACTATTTTCTGTGATAATATAATTCGTCAAATTTCATACTCGTCAAGTTTATCCAGTTTCCGTTCCTAAACTTATAGGACGATTGTTCGTACGTTTGGAGTGTTCCTGTTCAAGATCGTTGCAAATGGGTGAAGGAAACGAAGGATTGTTTCACAGATTCCATAATTCAATACACGGAAATCCTCTTTTGCAGCTTTAAATCGGAAAACAAAGTTTTATTCAGCGTTGGATTAATGCTCATGGTCATATGGCTTTTGTATCTGTTTCTGGTTTTAGGAACAACTTCTGACAATTTGTGAGTGATTATTTGTAAAATCGGGAGCTTTTATTAAACGCTAATTATCAAAGTGATTGACATTTACAGGCTGCTTCTTCGAAATTTAACCGTTCTGCGTTCTTTATGAAATCTGTTAAAATTTTTGAAATACAATTCTTCAAAATTTGCCTTTCGTTCAGTGTTCAATTTGCCTATCAATTGCCTAATCAATAGTAATTAATTATTTCTCGTTGCCTTTTATTCAGAGGTTTTTCCATTCGTACTGATAAAAAGTATTCTAATCACTCGTAATTCGTTATTTTTTAAATGTAATCGTTTTATCAATTTACACTACAGTTTTCACGCACGATTCCCGTTTCATGCAGCCAATAATCATTCCATTTGCAAAGAATTCTCTTTACACCACGTTCGATTTTATTCCATTTAAATTTACGCGAGCGAAAAATATTGCTATTCCGTGTCGAGAAATATATATGATTTTAGCAAAAAATAAATTGGAAAGAGAATCTTAAAAAAAAAAAAAAATAGTCGCAAAAGCCGAGTAACGTAACGAATGCAAAATTGAAAAATGGAACATTTCTGGTACAAAAAATAGAAGTTTGAATCAATCAAAGAGCAACATTCGTTATTTTGAAATGTAGCAATTACAGAAATAAGGAACAAAATTCTAATTTGCTTCCTGTATCAATATCGATAAAATTTTGTTACAGAAACAAATTAGCAATGCATTTAATCTGCATATTTTAATAACAACTAATAGATACAAAACATGAATCGTTAACTCAATAAAGAAACATTTCAACTATGTAGCTTAGAACCTGTATGAAATCTATTTATTATTTATTAAAATTTTTTCCAATATTTTTTATAAAAATTTCATTAAAATTATTATTTATTAGCACATCAACGTATCTGCTCACGTAGTTTCCCTTATATTTCATGTTATACGTTATTTATCACTCTCTATATAAATCAGCCAAAAGATAGAACGAAATTGCGAAATGGTAGTTAATAAAAGAGTTACGGCGAGAATGAGGTCTATAAGATTTTCCATAAAAGTTGCGGTGTCGATGGGCAGGTGACGCGTTAACTTTTTCACGGGCACATTGTGTCCAGTAAAAGGTGAATTATAGCTCATCTTGTGCGTACGAATCGGCGTATTCTCGCGCGGAAGCCGATTCAATTTTAATCCAAACGGTCGGAGAAGCTTTATGCCCCGTCATTAAAAAGAAACGGTCCGTCTGTGAAACGCGGTTGCCAGGCACTTGCAGCCTCGATAAAATTCGAATATGTGGCCAATAATGATTCTCGAATAGCGTCACGCACATTATTTAAGTGCAATGTAAGCAGTTACAATCTGTTATCCGTTTCTCGGCGAGGTCTCGATAGGTGTAGCGAAGATAATCCTGAATGTTCGACGAAATGGACCGAAAGCGATGGCCCATTCCGTGTGAAAAGTGTCGAAGAGTCGAGTAATACGAGTTCGGGATAATGTCCGGTAAAAGTGTAGTTGATAGAAAATGTAATTAAAATTTAACAACGCGTGTCGAATAATATAGGGAGGAGTTCGGATAATGTAACTTGTTATTTGTTCAATTTTTACAATTGGTATAGACTTTTTTTTTTTTTAGAGAAACGTTGTTTGAAATGAAATAACATTTTTCAGCTTATCCTGAGAATTTGTATGCGTGTTACATTTTTAACAGGAACAAAAATGTGTTAACAATTACTTTGTATTTATTTTTATGGATTTTGTTACGTGAACATTTTAATGAAATTATCGAACGTATACCAAAGAAAATTAGTTGTGAAATCGGCTATTTCATATGCAACAATTTAATAGTAGACTGAAAAACTCGATATTGTAGAAAACGAGGCTTTAAAGGAACAAATTTTATTCTTTGCTTTCAGTTTGTTTTTATTTGTAAAATCATCAATCTAAACTAATGCGATATACAGGAGAAATGAATGAAAATCAAATAGCGAACAGGATTGATCATAGATCATACCATGATCGTCTCTTTGCTCCGTTTCTTTTCACTCTTTAGAGCCTAAATACTTCTTAGGCTGACTGCATTCACTCTTTAGATTAGGTTAGGTATTTCACTTCTTAGGGCCTAAGTACTTCTTTGATCGTCTGTATTCACACTTCAGATTAGGTTAGGTATTTCACTTCTTAGGCCGACGGTATTCATTCTTCAGATTATGTTAGATTTTCCATTCTTCAGTGCCCAAAGACTTTCTATCCCGTCTGTAACGAATACTTAACCATCGACACCCTACGATAGTAAAACTACCGTCTTTCTACCATACCCTCTCTCTGTGCAGCTTCTGCCCGTCATTGGCGGTGATAGCCAGTGTTTTGCGGCTGTCGGACAGTATAGCCGGGGTGACGATATTGGCATTTGGAAACGGTGCTCCTGACATCTTCACGTCTATCGTATCGGGTAGCGAAGAGGGGATAATAATGTTCACGGAATTAATCGGCGCCGGTGTCTTTGTCACGGCGATTATCGCCGGTTCCGTAGCGATGGTCAAGCCCTTTCGAGTCCCCCTGAAGCCCCTAATGAGGGACGCGTGCTTTTACATTGTCTCTGTCTGCTGGATCAGCTATGTCGTGCGAGACGAGACGGTTTACCTTTGGGAAGCTTTCAGTACGTACCACCCCTTCGGTACTCGAATATCTTGCGCCAGTCTAATCGTATCCTTTATTTCCTTATCTTGTTACAACCTGGCTCGAAGGTTGGATTCAATGTTCCCTCAACTTTCACGGTGGGAACCCTTCGAGTTGGTGGTTCCTCGGTGAATAATGGAACTTTGAGGAATTCTAAGGAGTTCCTTGTAACTTTGCTTGTAATACTGTTAAATCTGTTTGGCAGACGATCTGTTAACTGCGTTAAAAATAAACCTGTTTGATCGTTCTTTCAGTGTGTAACTTTTTTGGAAAATTACAAGTTACGATCACTTTTATATTATGCCTGCAGATCATTTCTTGGTTGCATTGTAAATTTGTCAACATTTTTTATTATTCTTCGTATGTACTGATAAGAAGGAAACTAATTATCAGATTTCTATCTTAACCTGATATAATGATAAAATATTCAAAAAATCTGTATAAAGGTAATGTTAAACGATCAGATGGAATTGGTTGCTTTATACAGATTATAACCAGAAGTTTATAAACACAGCTATAATTTATCATTACCGTGCAAAGAAAGAAGAGAAAGAATTTAAGGGAAAATAATAATACGGTACTTTTCACATTCGATTGAAATTACATGGAAAAAGCGTAAAAGCGATATAATACGAGGACCATCAAATAAGCTACGCTCCATAGAAACGGAAAAGTTTATCTATGGGGAGCCATAAGTATGCGGTTTAATTCTGTAATAACGATAACTCCGGGGCGAATTTAATTAAGCAAAGCCGCGATCTTTCTGCCGTTGGTTTCCTCGCAATCTGACCACCGACGAATTTCTACCGCGTTCTGTGATAAGCCTCTCAAACGTAAAAAAAGGAAGAACCTTGGGAGGGAACCGGAAGAAGACAAAAAACGCGCAAAGAGAAAATTTCGTTAAACTCGTGAGTAAATTGACGGAATGAAATGTGAAAACCACCTGAAAATAAACCAATCGACGCAAATTTCTATCGAATAATCGAAATTTCATTCGGAACACTCGAACTTTCCCAAAAGAAGAAACTAAGCGCAATTTAGTATTCAAATGATAAGCACGCCCGTGTTTTTCTACCATTCCGCTGTAATGAATTTTTTTTAATAATTTCACGCACACCACGCGCTAATGAAACGTCCGGTAAACCGTGTTACCAAAACGAACAAAATTAACAATTAATTATGTTGACTTTTGCGCGCGGCACCAAGCGACGCTTTTTTTTAACGCTGATACATTTTAATTGCAGGTTTTGTCCTCTTCTATATATTGTTCATCAGTGTGGTGGTGATAATGCAGATATTCGAGAGCCGGGAAGAAAGGCTTACAAGTACGTTGAAACATTCTCGCTGATTTCTCCGAACGCGTTGCTTCGCGATAACACGGTCGAAGTTATCCTATGTGAAGAGGGTGAAGCTTTTTAGAAAATTCTCACGTGAAACGACGGTCTCGTATTGAAGCCTGGACAAACCCATTTAAAAGAATAACTTTCCCTATAATTTAAACGCGGAAGCTTTAACGCGACCGCGTAGCGCGGCGTAAGGTTAACTCTTGAAAATGGGAATTTGAAAGGAAGTATAAATTCGCGGGAACGAAAACAGAGCGAAGACACGGTTTAATTAAGGGAACGATATCGTTTGATTACAATTACGCGTTATAACGAGAGGAGGGAAACTTTCGATAAAGTTTCGGAATTAGGTCGACACCGTGAATACGTGCGACGCGACGATGCATTTTTCCGATGAAAATTAACGGGTTGCGTGTATTTTCGTTTGTTAATGTCAATCTTGTTTCTCTTCGTGGACAATACGTGTTACCGTGAAATTTTATTCTCGTTTTATCAGGATTTTTCTCGGTTTTCGCGAATGGTGAGTAAGGAAAGAGTTTTAGTGTCTTTTAAATTTTTTAAATTTGCAATACGAAGACGATCTTTAATTTTTTCAATGAAATGCAATCCAACCATTGTGACACAACGAGCTACGAACAATTTTCTTGTGTCACTTAACGGGGCATCGCGATAAAATATTACTAAACACTAAGTTTTGAAATTGGATATTTTTTTTTTGTTATTTTAAAATTCAAGGCGGATGTTCCTTTCTGTTTCGTTCGAGGATTCTGAAAGTACACATTCAGAATAACATATACAATACTGTACTATTGAAAACGTAAGAGTGTATTCCGATAGTCAGTGACAATGATACGAAATATTCGAACGATTCCTGATCTTGTATGACCTTAAAAGCCATTGTTTCGCATATGGTTGAATTTCTTTTCCTTTCATATGGCATAAAAAAAAATATGTAGCATTCCATTTGGAAAATTAAAGTTCACCTTCGTCTCTCCAAAAATATCGTAAATATAAAAAATTTACGTAAGCTATTACCTTGGCTATAAAAGACAGTCAAACTTTTTCCCCTCTCATTTTCATCGTATATTTACCATTTACGAGAAAAAGAAAAAAACACTGGCTATTAACGGCCGCGAATTTTGTATAGAAGACAAAAGAATTCGTATCTCGCTCGTTTCCTCTGTGCAAACATTTATCCAATTCGCAAATTAATACGAAAGAAACAAGTGTTTTCTGCTCGTCGAATGGGGTAGTTGCAATTTATGAGAAATGGTAGTTTGCGTCGATAGAAGAAACGCGGCATCAAGGACCTTATTTGAACACCGCTCTGTTTGACATTCACGGTGCACAGTGTTTGTTACGTTCGACACTCGGTATGCAACAGAAGCCAAACATTCGAGCTAGTGTACACACACGAAAGTCTCTGGAATTATTTCGAAACGAATCCTTCTGCTTGCTACGAGAAAAAAAAAAATTGCCCGCGCCAGTACGGTTATCGATCCTTTTCCACCAAGGTTTCCTTATGTACTTTCTCGCAGGCAGGATCCCAAGCGCATCGGATCCAGACATCCTGCGTACTTACTTGGCGAACAAGGACACAGCCACCATTCCGAAGATTCCCGTGAGAACTCGTGCTTTCGGCCTGAGAACCAAGTTAGGTACGAATTTGTTGTTCTCGCGATTGATCAAATTCTCTCCTTCCGCTCTGTTCAATTCTGATTTAACAAACCGTTTTTCACGAATTTTTCGGTTGTTTCTTCAGGAGTGTTGCATCGTCGAATTAAAAATGTTGGATTGCTTAGAAATTTAGGTGAAATATTTAGGTTAAATTTAACTGGAATTGAAGGGTTAAATTTGGGTTAAATATTTAATATAAATTAACCTAGGTTCAAAATTTAACCTAAATTAAAAATTAGGTTAGAAAGTTAAATTTAGGAAGAATTCAGGTCGTCTTCTCTTTCTTTGAAATATTCTTTATTATTGCTTTACACGAGTTTCACATGAATTTTTACACTTGTGGTATGTTTATAGTAAGTACAACACAGTATTTGGGGATTTGGGACGATTCTGATGAGTGTTATCTATTTCTTGTCCATCTATCGTCCTCGGTCCAGTGACAAAGACGTAGATGGATGGTTCAAATCATCGTATCTCCGCTTCTAATTGAGACAGCGATGAAAGTCAAAGGGTGTTTTGCTCGTTAGTCGAAGACGAATCCAACGAACTCTTCAAGTTGTTTGTAAGTTGAACGAAGTGGATATTAAGTCGAACTACATTTTCTGCAGTAGAGAAAATGTGGACGATGAGTTTTTCATGGCAACGCTTCGCTGCACAAAATATAGCTCGACTTTTATTCATTCCTGTTCGCTTTGAGGATAGTTTGAATTTGTTTTCATGTAACGAATAAAATACCTTTTGGCTTTTGTCGATATCTTAATTAGAAACGGAGGTACGTCGGTTTGAATTTTTCCTAAATTTCGCTGCGAATTTTCCGAACCCAATACAACAAATCTGATATTCCTTTTGTATTTGTGTTTAAAATTATTCTTCCACTTAAAATTGTTCAGAGATTTGGTTAATTATTTATATTTGTTTTCCTTGTTTGCCACTTCTCTAATATAAAATTATTAATCTTCTATAATGTCATTTCAAACTTTCTTCTTGAGATTTGTTATACTGTATAATAATGTTTAAATCGAATAGATTTGTTTAAATAAGTATTTTCTAATATCTGCGTGAAATATTATAGTTTTCGAATAACTAATGTAATTACAGTGACAATATATTTACCCTTTTTCTCCCTAATAAAAAATATGGGAATAATTTCGGAGGAAACGTTATTTGTTTTTGAGAAGAACGTAAAAAATGTAAAAACTTGAACGTTACAATTCCTAAAAGAAAAAAGGCGCGCTCAATTTCTGAACTTCTCCCCTTAGGGGCCAGACACCAATACGCCATTTCTCACAGAAAAGGTCCCACTGGATCGTAAAACATCAAATAAAGATTTTGTTACTATTTTTAATAGCTTCTGTGGAAAGTTTTAAACAGCTATATTTTATAAATTTCACTCTAAGTTTTATTCCAACATGTCTTCTTATTTATTCAATTATCTGTTCTTTTTAATACTGTTATGTTCCAGTATCGAGCTCCATATTTCTGTGTCTCGCCTAAAATATCGACACTATTTTATTAGATCTACGCAAAAGTTCCCGTCGCATTTTTTTGTAAAATGTATATTTAGTTTTTCTTATATTGATAATTAGTCGTTATAAGAATACTAAAAATGTAATATTAATATTACACTCATAGTATTCAATAAACTGCAGTATTGTCATAAATACCAATTGTGAAAATTTAAATAATAAAAGAAACTAATACTTCCATCGATTTACAAGCGATAGAAACTTTTGCATAGCCTTTGTAGGAATCTTAAGCTTAGCAAAAAGGCGGAGCGGTCGAGGATATATAAAACTACGGTTAAAGGAGAGGGTGTGTATCGTACTATGTTTCGGCTGTGACTGACTGCAGGCATAGTTTTCGCCGGCGATGGGTATTTTCCCATTTTTATGACCCGCCGTCTGGTCTATGTCTCAAGTGCCTTCACGCAGTCCCGTATCGCACTCAACGCTTAAACAAACTCTCGATTTACAATACCGAGAGATCGGCTCTCAGTACGACAGCCTTAGTAAAATATATCCACAGAATTTATAAATTTTTGAAAAATACTCACATCTTTCACATTCTTCGAAGCGTGTACCAAGGAAAATTTCTATTTCGTACAAATCTTTGTGGTGTAAATATATTTTTCTTGTATCAGACGTCGCGATAGCAACAGAGCTGGAAAGAGAGAGAAAACGGGCGAAATTGTCATGGGCAGAGGGGTCTGAGGAAGAAGAGGAAGAGTACGATAGGCCAAAGGGTCTATTCAACGAATTTCTCTACGATATTAACCCAATAGATAAGGAGGATTGGCTAGAGGCGAATCGAATGTTCAAGTTCATTTTAATCGTACGTGCGCCCGTCATGTTTCTACTTCAATTATTTATCCCACTTGTGAATACGACTGCCGCAAAGAGAGGCTGGTCCAAACTGCTAAATTGCTTCCAGCTGTGTGTGACGCCGACGATGGCGTTGTTTCTATTAAACGGTTAGTCGTATTAATTGTCGCGACTTCTACGTCTGCCATTATAAATCGTCCCCTCTAATAAAAGCTCGAGCTTTCCCAGAAATATTTTCCATCACGGTGATATATACGCGTGGAACTTTTCGGAATTGAGACAAACTGCCGCAGATTTTTTCCCCAGCGAATCAATATTTAATCGATCGAAATTAAACTTCCATTTGTTGCCGAATCGAATTAACGCTTTTTCATCAGTTTTTTGTAACAGAAACAGTTTCCAATTTCTGTCGATTTATCGCGTCGTATTGTTTACACTCCCGTTCATAATTATTAGTACATTTGTGGAATGCGAGGGAAATTTAAATAGTTGTTACGAAATTATTAAAATCGTGGAAAATATTATTTAGTCTGGAATTTCGTTGTACGACGAGTACACACGATTAAATTATGCAGTTTCATTTAAGCGCTGTCATAGAAATAAGGTCCTAATGATGTGCAGAGTCGTTTGAATTTGTAACATTTAAAAAGAGAAAAAGTAACTTCAGGTTTTCACGGCGTTTTCTAGTATAGAAGGGTTTTTGAAAAAATTCAGTTCGGTGGTATGAAAGTAGAGGCTTCGCTCTTTAAAACGAGCCCAGGTAGAATATTGTACGATTTTTTTTCACCAAGTTACAGTAGTTCCAATGTCAACAATTTTTGGCTCAAAATTTAACGATCCAACCTTGGCGGCGAAATGTCAGTTAAATCATATTTTACTTTTTATACAAATACACTAGGTGTCCTAATATTTATGAACGACAGTGAAAATGATTTAGTCTGATTTTCTATAGTTTTATTTATCTATTATGCCTTATCATATTCTACATTTGAGTAGATTTTATTTCAAAAATTTGTATTACTTCCATCACTCGAAGTATACAGGGTGTTTCGTACAAAAGCAGGCCACCTAAGTGTCTTCTCTATCTGTGATAATACCAGAAATATTTCGTAAGTAATGTAAATGGTTTCAAGGGACAAATCAGACGGAAGAAAATTTTTTTTTATAAATATCACTTTTTTTCATCAAATGAATTTTTCTTCCATCTCGTTCACTCTTCGAAACCGTTTGAATGATTTAAGAAACATTTCTCCTATTATCGCAGATGGCCCGTTTCACGCGAAACACCCTGTATACCTGTTAAGTGCCATGCAGCAAAAAGTTTTCTAGGTTCCGTTAGTAGTACAAAGTATAATACTTCGGTCAGTCGTCGTGAATGCCGTCTCATTTGCACCGTCGTTTCGCAGTTTGGAGAGCACATTTTGGCCCGGTTTCAGTGGTGCCGATATTCCTACTGGTTGGTACTGTAATTGGTGTAATTGTATTTCTAATGACCCACGTGGATCGCATACCGAAGTTTCATAACGTGAGTAGTTTTTCTACCTTTTTGCCGTTCGCTCTTCAGCTTTCGCACTCGCCGCGCTCTTACACAGTCGCTTGCTCATAACGACCGGCGACAAATTAATTGCAGGTTTTTGCATTTCTCGGATTCTTGGCTGCCATGCTGACGGTCTATTTGGTTGCCGGGGAGGTGATGGCAGTCCTCCAATGTGTAGGATACGCTTTCAGTATATCGGACGCCATGCTTGGTGTTACGTTCCTCGCTTGGGGTAACAGCATAGGTGGTAAATAGAGCAATGTTACTGCACGATGTAATTTCTACCACTTTCTCAACCTTTCTTTCTGTGCAATATTCGCAGTTAACGGTGGAGATGCAATTACTTAACAAATTGTCGAGGAACATTCGTGCGATAACAAGTTTAACAGTACAGTACTTCAGCCACTTTTCATAGTATTTTTGTATATAGACTTTATTATAATTTTTATGTCTGTAAAATTTCTATTTCAATTTTACCCTCGTCGTTAGTACAAGCGTATTGAAGTACAATTATATTTCGAATAATCTACAAAAGTGATTCGTATAAAAATTATTTGAAACGTAATATTGAATACGAATTCTTTTACTCGTGGTATCGTTACTTGCAATAATGAAAATATAGTCTTTAAAAAATAGAATATCCTTTCAAACATACGGAAACCAACGTTTATTAATATTACATGTCACACGATTTCAATTTATAATAATTTCTCCCTATCACACTCTCACTTTTCTACTTTTCTCTTAATGTCTCGCGTTAAATATAAATTTCAAATGCAGGCGTTACAATGCCCCAGTATAATTCTTAACACTAGAACAGCCAAAGTTAAATGCAGCATATTTTTCCCCTTCTGGCTTATTTAGGTAGAATCTCGAAACTAGAAAGCTTAATGGAAAATAAATGTATTCAAAGTAAGAAATGTGAAATCCGTCATTTGGACGGGTTCGGTTGTTCCAGTGTTAAGTAACTGGCGTTCGGTAGGTGTTAACGTAGCCAACATTTCACATTACTATTAACTCTTCGCTGATATCAACCGAAATCCCTTTATAGATCTGATATCTAACGTCGCCATAGCCAAACAGGGATTTCCACGGATGGGATATGCAGCTTGCTTTGGCGGACCGATGTTCAATACACTCTTGGGATTAGGGCTAACTTATGGAATAGCTGCTAGTAAACAACCTCAGAAACGCACCGCTATGAGAATGAGTGATATGGCGCCCGGTTGCTTAGCTTTCCTTCTCTGTTCGTTAATAACAACCATTATTTACCTAAATATAACTGGCGCGGTGGCTCGGAAATCGTACGGCTACCTCTTGTGCTGTATATACTTCTCGTTCATCCTCCTCCAGTTCCTCAGTGAATTCAAAGTGATACATCCACTTGGCACCGATCATCGGCCGTAGGATTACGATTGAACGAGACTGTTAACGCGAACGCTTGAATTGTATTTCCTCGATAATTGCGCGATTAATATGTAAGAGGGGAATGTTTGTACGACGGAAAGTGTACTGCTTTGAACAGAAAGGGATATTTATTTCACAAGAAGGATGAGTTGGCATTTCTCTTTGTTCCACAGAGGATAGGTTTTCTGTTTTAATGGAAAAGATGTAGAACAGTCCTTGCGTTCTTCTTGTTTTATTCTCGTTGTGCAAACAGTCTTTAATTAGGAGCTCCTGTTTGTATGTGTGCAATGAATTTGTTCACAGACATACTTTCTTTTGCGCGGTATTGTAGAATATTTGTAACACTTGCGTTCGAAATGTTGGAATCCATTTGTTACGTGATTATCGCGACGACAACGGTGCATAATCTTGGAGAACATTCGGAACAGTCAGTTTGAATATTAATTTCAAGCATGAGCAAACTTTATCGTCGTACTCTGAGTACGTAATGGGTAATTCAGAATTATGCACGGTAGAATTTGTTAGCGTGTTGTAATCTACAATGAAGCAGAATTCCTTTCCTGTTCCTCTACGTTATATACCGGGTGTCCAAAATTGTTTTCGATAAAACTTCGCCAGTGTGTTCTGTAGGCATAGGTAAGAAAAAACTGTCGTATAAACATAGGTCGTTTGAGGCTTCGTTTAAAAGTTATAGCATTGATCGTGTTTCGTATTTCGTATTTTTGCTATAACTCTTTCGCGAAGCTTCAAACGACCTATGTTTATACAACATTTTTCTCTTATCTATACTCATAGATCATTCTAACAAAGTTTGCTCCGAAAAAACTGGGACACCCGGTACGTACAGTATTATCCTAAAATACAACTGCGCGTAGAATATTCCTATCTTCGTTGAACAAACGAATTGCACAAAACGCGCGTTATAGCAAGACGTTTAATAGCAGAATATTCTGAAAGGCGAAACGTATGGAAACATATTGTAATCTCAGGTTAACAAAGGGTATCGTTACAATTTTCGGTTAACAATTCAACGCTGTTTAACGTAAAGCGAATAATACGGGAAAACTTTGTTTACATATAAAACTGAGCTTGTCCGTGGAAAAAAAAAGATATTCACTTAACGGGGAGGGTCGAAATAAGAGCGGACGAAGATCGCTTTGAAGTACGAAGCGGTATAAATTTTTCACGCATAAAAGAGCCGGTAATAAGTGATATCACCGTCGGATCCGTCTTATAAATTATTTAAAAAAAGGACGACGAAGGAGCGGGGGAAAGGAGGATGGCAAGAAATACGGGGATACGTAGGAAAAGGCAACCGGGGCCGTCGTGTTTCCCTCTAAACGACGCCTGCAAATGAGTCAACATCGTAACGACATGGACGAGGATACATTTTTAATGGACCAGAGGGGCTACTATATAAGCATTCAAGGAGGATGTACATTATTCGAACGTATGAAGCAACAGTCGGTCAACGCTGTGTTCTTCTTTCGACATTTCCCCGGAGATCGAGGCGGAGGTGTTGCGTTTTCCAACCGAACCGACGTTACGGGGACCGTGGCGGAGCGTGAACAGGGAAACTGCGACCGTGTTAATACGGTCCCCGCGCTGTGCACGACGGGACGTTACTTTTACATTTTCTATGCTGGTATAATTTCAGGCGAATCAACCGTGTTGCGAACATCTAATTGAATGCACGAACAGGCGCGCGACGTGTGTGCATGTGTGATTTGGAGGCGAATAAAAGATTCGACGCGAGGGCGATACGTTCAGTTTTCTTCACTTCGGGGGAAATGAATTTCTCCGGATGTGATATCAATGGAAATGAACATGAGTTTAAGTTTAACGTGTCGACGATGAGTTGACTGAATTTTATTTATTCGGTAAAAGTACCTACTGTTCTTCAGGATGTGTTGTTTAATAGGAACTTACGGTTAGATGTACACTACTGGACAAAATTTTGGGATCACCGTGTATTACAAATTACACGAAGTTTCCAAAACGAGTTGACGATCGTGAGGATTTTTTAATGAATTTTTTATTGCTCTAATCAACCGAATGGAAACTTTTTGTCTGTAGTGACTTAAAAAAAAAAGGGAGTTTAAGACTTTCAGAGATTTATCGTTCTTTCTGAGAGGAGTAAAAAATTCTTGCGATATAAAATCCACTTTTGTATTTACGAGCACTCGGTATCATGAGTTTCACCGCAGCAAGTTGATTCTAAATAAAAGAATCAGTTTGAAAGTAAGTAATGTAGCGGCCTTACGAAACAGAAGGAATATTTGAAAATGTACGTCGATCTACGATAATCCACAGTTGTCAGTCTTGCATTCAAATGGAAAGCAAACTTTTATGCTCCACATCGACAAGATTGATTTTAGGACTTACGTCGAGTAAACATTCTTTACTTTTCTCGGTGAGCTCTGTAAGCACCTAAAGTCTTAGACTCTGTTTTTCATTCTGCTTCTTGTATAGAGAATGATTTGTCTAGATAATTGAGAGAGACAAATTGAATATTGTGTAGATGCTCCATTTTGTAACATTTTGACTTTTTAAAAATTGGAGAAGACAGCCGAAAGTTGACATTTATATCCTAATTGTTAAAATTTCTACTTATCGTCCACTATAATTGTACTAAAATTTAAGGCATGCAGGAAACAATATAATACTATAGGAGATATTTAATTAATAACTTTTTGGAAGAAGTATTCCTTTTGAAAATATGATACGTACATTATTTCGATATAATTGAAATAAAATTCAATGCATATAAAAAACAATATAATGCTATATGAAACATTGATTAGCAACTTTTTTCGAAAGAACCATTCCTTTCGAAAATATCCTTCATAAGCGTATTTGTTTTAATCTGTCGTGTGATCGTGTAGGTATAAGGGAAACGAGATAAAAACTCGAATGTAGATATTGATTTTTTAACTTTTACCCAATGTCTACATTCAGCACGGGCTCGTGCGTTGTGTGCTGTGTTTGTATAGGATTATGATGGATTGGGTCACGAAACGTCACGTTGTATCGTATCAGATAGTCAAGGACCGTGTCAGCTTCTTGTTGTTATTCACTTGCTAACAAGTGCCATACGTACGTTCGAATTTTAGTTGAAAATCACGCTTCTGTCGACTACTGTGCTCGTTGTAAACATACGAAATAGTTTCCAAATATTTAGACGCAGGATTTAAAGGTAATCCTGAGCAACACACGCAAACACAAGAGAATAGATTGCAAAGGTAAACAAAGAAAAAGAAGAAGACGATATATGTACATTGGTATTTTTGTATTTGCACGTTTCATGGAAAAATAGTGAAATCTGAGGTGAACTATAGGCCAAATTTTGTAATTTAGATTATTTCCAACAAACCCTTAAATTTGATAAAAAAAAAAAACAACGTAAGCGCCTTCTAAGTCCACAACTTTTTCCTACTTTTTTTTCGCGGTAAGACAGTTATGTCATCGCTATAAAATTTCCTTGAATTTTCATTAGAATATTTTTCATGTATTCCCAATTCCCAAAAATTGCCAAAAATTGGAATATTTCGGCACGATTTTAGGGGATGGCCTAAGTTTGCAGAGAAATCGGCAATCAGTCTCTTTATTTATTATTTAAACAACGAATTGCAAATTACAATTTAGATGTCCTATTTAACGTTCTACTACGCTGCAGACAAATAGAAATATGCGTATGTAGCTTGTACAATAAATGACGGTAATGTGAAAACTTGGCAAAGATTGGTCGTTAAAACAGAAAATTGAAGATTAACGTATTTCACGTTTGATTAATTAAAAATAAAGCAGCAACGACGCGCTTTTTCGCTTTTTCTTCTACAAAATTGTTCAGCTTCGTTAAAGTGAAATGAAACGGTGTGCTGTGATGTGTGTGTGCGTCGCTGCGAATAATTTTATGTCGTTGGTACTTTACTCTATTCTCGTTGAGTTGTCAATTGGAAATTACTGTTAATTACAAACCGGAAACTGTCGTTTTATTAATTTTTTTTTCGTACGGTTTCCCCGATAGTACAATATAATACACTATATATCCACATTTGTAGGAAATTACACGAGCTTAAGAAGAAAAGACGAAATTAATCTAAAGTCTTTCTAATATAGTTGTGCGACCAATAGTCATACGCGCCCGTAAAATTGATTCAACAGGATCTCATTTATCACTATCCGCTGCAGCGGACCGTTTTTATAGACCCATTAAGTGGGATCTCCTTTTCCCACGTAGATACGAGACTTAATGCGAGATAGCTAATGTAAAGATCGGCGCTGGCATTAGCGTCTAATCTCTGGCCGTCTTATCTAGCTCCAGTGGATTTTCGTCGGAGTGGGGAAGGAGAAACTAGGAAAAAGAGAGGAAAACGGCCGACCCAAATGGTGGGCAATTTGTAAACGCGCAAGTTAACGAGCCCATTCACCGATACGGCTATTCGTCTTTCCGGTAATACAATCAGCAGCAGGTTTTCGCGCGCACTTTTGCATTCATTTCTGCTGGTGCAAGCACACGGAACGCTTCTCTCCTCCGCTAATTATCTATAAAATTTACCGACACGTCTTCCTATTCGAGTCAGTGTCAGACAAGCCTGCCGGCAGATAATTAACCAGATTCCGCGGACGGACGACGTCATTATAGGGTAGCTTGGAGCGGGCTTGTATTGTTCCGTCGTTAACCCTTTCATTTCCATCTGCGCCCAGAAATTTCGACGTCTCGAACTACTCGTACGAGCTGCATCTTGAATGCTAGTTGCCAATTACGGGGTATGAGATGTGTGTGTGTGTGTAAATGTTGTACGATTAACCAAAGGAATTCGGTGCTTTTACGTTACGATATTGTTCGTGATACAACGGTATCGTTGCTTCGTCGTTATTTGATAAAGTTATTGTGGATCTTCTGGGTGCTTCTGTGACGTAATGAAGGATGTTTAATGCAGGACGTATTATAATTTCAGTTGTTTTATTTTTTTTTTAATTGCATAAGTCCAGTTTTT